AAATGAATTGATCAATTTTTTTGGTCTAAAAACATATTCCGCGATAATTGGATGGGCGGGGACTCTAGACAGGTGTTTATGGCCTCATCCCCGTAACCAAAAGAGGGGCGCAGGAATGAGGCTTAAGTATGGAAAGTTGTATAGTGATCCCTGCAGACAACAGAGTGTGTGAAAAGGCGTGCATGAACAGCTTTCCCCACCAACTGTTGCGGACTCAGGATGGCATCATTGATTGAAAGGGCTGCCTTGTCAGCATTCCAACTCCCTCACACTATCGTTTGCTGGGACCAAGACCTCCACTCCTTCGCCTCATATCCTACAGCTGGAGAGGGCGTGGTTGCGTACTTCATTACATTCTGCGGAATGCTTTTTTCATGGAATATTTCCATTTGAAACAACTATCATCCTATCCTGTGCCAAAGGAAAAAACGATAAGGATTGTACCAAAACGGCATATTTCACCAGAACCGCCGCCGCCGCAGTTTTCCAAGAGAAGTACGCATCCATGCCCCTCCGTCTACGAGATATGAAGTTTATTTTTTCGCGAAATACGCTTTTCAAAGGGATGAAAGGTGGCGGATCCTTCAGGAACACGTCTCACAACCGTCACGAACACCTAGGACCATCTGAATGCATTTCGGTCTACGCAATGATCTGAGGCGCCAAAATCCAGAGCGTTTGTCCTTTCAGCTAGCTCAACACCCGTTATATGCCCAAGACTCTATCAGCCCATCGGTTAGGGCGAGATCCGAGCAGGTAGAATTGGAGGCGCTAATAAATAACTTTTCAGTTGGGGGGGGGAGGGGAAGGAGCACACCTGTAAGCGGCTGGCATACAAGCTTTGTTCAACCGGGTCAAATACACACATGATAATACCAGATAGTCGTGTTTCACCCTGCAAGTCCTGTGAATTCTTGTCAAGTACTGTAAACTTCTGGTACATCCTGCAGCTAAGTAAGGCTACAAATCCGATATCCCTGAGTTAGTTTTCAAGTTTGACCAGTTCGACAAGTTTGAAAGGACTTTGCAGGGTGCGTGACAGGTGATAACAGGCTTACAGGTTGTTGACAAGGTTGCCGAATTTGACATGATTACAGTTGCCCGAAAATATAACAGTTTACAGTTTTGAAAGAGTTAGTATGCGTGACAACCCTTAGAGAAAGTGACCCCCTCCGCCTCCCCCAATGCTATTGGCTACGAAAATGGGGACTACCAATACCTCTTCTCTCCTACCCATGATGGCGCTCATGAAAATCCAGAAGGACCGACGCCCTTACCTGAGTTGGATGCTCTCCAGCTCCATCACCAGCATTGATTACTGGACGAGAGGATACTGTAGCAGCTCGTGCAGCTGCACCTGTCTCCTTATGTCGTAGCACAACGATATCCGCATAGTTCGACATAACTGTTACCGAATCTAAAAGTCAAACAATCCAAAAATGCAACAAATCGGTCAGAGCGCGATCCAATCGCTCGGGTGATTCGACGGCGCTATCCAAGTGATCACGTCGCTATAAGCATGAACGCGCTCTTAAGCAGAGAAGAAAGTTTGTACCCTTCAAGTGTTTCACCCTTTTGTACAGACGACGAGAAGCTATCCATATGGACAACTCCTCCGCCGAGACGCTGCATTGCTGCTGAGAACGAACTTGCTGTTCGTGTAGACACCTCGTAAAACATTGACGCAAGCACATAACCCTTAAATGAGAAGAAATTACTCAACTAACTGAATCGATATGTTTAGTTCAGAATTTATAAGCCGCAGATTTGACCCCTCTAAAACGAAAATCACTCGAAGACTCCATAGACGTAGAAAAACCTAATGGGTGAGTGGGAATGTGAGAGCATTAGATTTCGACTGGGTTCCCGTGAACCTCATTTAAAGGCAGCGCCCGCGTTCAAATTTAATGAGTATGCGGCTCAGGTAGTAACAGCGAGGTAGCAAGAAGCCTATTAGTGAAGAAAAATCAAAGAGAAAACACGCAAAATGCCCTAGAAGGAGTTTCATACCGAACAACGGTTGTACGTGCTTAAGGCGAAGAGAAGGAGTGATTGCACGAGTTTCCACTTGTTCATATCAGCTGTTTTCCCTTATCACCTCACTCTCACCACTCCACGTGGAGAGAAGCAGCAATGGAACAACCGCACCATCAGGCAACCATTAGAAATGAAGTTGGGTGGCGTGGTCGGCAGGTGGGCGGAGCCGTCGGCTCTTTGCGGGCGGACGCCGCTGTTCCGTCGCATTTTTGGGTTGCGGAACATGCACGTCCACCATCCTCAGTAGGATGGGCTACTAGACTCAGAGAGGGCGCGATGTAACAACCAATATGAAACGCGGGCGCTGCCTTAACCAACTCCAATAACACGTTCGGCACGCTGTCCGGCTTGGGGGGGAGGGGAGGGGCAACTGTCGACAATTTTCCTTAGTTCCTTTTGCTAGTCTCATTAACTAACAGGTTGATCACTATCACTTTGACAAGACCTGTGAACTCATGCAAAATTGCGTACTAGAACGAGTCAGCCATTTTCTCTGCAGGACTTTACAAGCTTTCACAAAGTGGCCTGAACAATATTCGCCGAGTACCACTTGGTACCCCCTCCAAACAGTGCTGCGCCTACCCGAGATGTGGCAACAAGCTCGGACCGAGCGGTATTTCCTATCTATGACACAGCTTGCTGAACCAGGGCGCATCATTGATTGGGGATTTCCCTCCCCATCGAGCTGTCCAGGGGGGAGTGATAAATAGCACATGTGAAAGCGAGAAAAATAGCAGTAGATTTTCAGCAATATAGAACCATGTAACGAAGAAACACTAAGCGCCCGGACGAGAGACCAGACGGCAAGGGATGATCCAAGGCATTCGAACCAACAGCACGCTCCAACCGCGTTTATTCTGGGAAGGAGATAGACCACCGGGTGTGCCTAAGCTTATTTCAACTAGCATATCGTGTATTGCGTCTTTCAAACCTCCCCCCCCCCCCTAAACGCTCTGGTGAGGTCTCTTACCTATTTGCTTTTTTTTCTGGTTAGTGGTTGAAAGAAGCAAAACTAAAACAAAAATCTACCTCTAGAACATGTGTCAAGGGATGTTTCCTCTCAACGTCAGCTCGGAACCGATCAGCCACATCGAAAATGTTGTTGATCTGGAATTGAACATACGAAATTTCCGTTCTACCTCACACCTCTGACCACCACCACCCCCCCCCCCAACCCAAAACCATTCAGTGTCCAAACTCACGGTTGCTTTGTTGAGATCATGCACGGAAAGCAAATGGCTTCCAGCTAGCGTCACTTCTCGAGGTGTAAATTGTGCAACAGGTAAGATAGGAGGGCTATCTTCCATCGAAACCTTGGCCTCAGCTTCCGGTTGTTCATCAGTGCCCACTTGCAATTCACGTAGCACATTTGATCCCAGACTGACCACTTCTGCAACAGTTGAAAAAAATATGAATCGATTACCTCCTAGATTAAAGAGTATTAGGCAGCGTTCACACTTCGCGATGACGCGCGTCGATGTGGCCCCTCCCATGCTAAAACAGACGCGGATGGGTATCGATGGGCGCCAGCCGCTTGTGTCCCGAGAGTATAGGATAACAGAGGGGTGGACTCTGCTTTCACACAATCTAGCACCCTCCTATTCTTCTTACTCTCCCAAAACACTAGCGCACGGCGCCGATCGATGCCAGACTGAGTGTTGGGCAGCGCCTAACCCTTATCAAAACTTAGGAGCAACAGCGAACTGCACCGATCAATACACATCTGCGGCTGCATTCCCGCCTATAACAATGGAGCGGCAGCGCGTCCGACGCGTGACGCGGCGCATATAGGCGCTTCTACGTGTGTCATCCGCGAGTCTGAACGCTGTCTCAGTGTGGATATGTGGATACTTACCATTACTCGAACTACCAAGTAACACATCAGCTCTTGTGAACGAACGAATATTCATGCCAAAGCCAGGCCTAGCATGGATCTGAATGAAATTGAGATAAAGATGAAGTGGATAGTGAAAATGAGACAGAAGTCAGAAATGTAACAGAAGTCCGCTAACTGGAAAAAATAGGAGATGACGGGTCATCTATCACGTTAAGGGGCCGACGTGTCGCATAAGAGACCGACGACGAGTAAGCCTGTACTGTAATATTACCGATGACGTCACGATACACGCCATCAACTGTATCTGTTCGAGCTGACTGACTTAGCAATGAAGTTGCTCTTCCACTGCGAGCAAACAGCTTGGTTCGCAGGGTAACGAACGCATCACCTATGAGGCGCAAAAAGCGAATAGGAGCCCCAGCTGCCAGTAAGTCGTTTCTCAGCTTGCTCCACCGGCATCCTCATTGGCCCCGGCCAACCGCGCCCAAAATGCCATCAATATACATAACTACAACTTGTAGGGGACTTCATTACACGTCGCATCCTTTTAACTAGCATGTATTGCGTAACCTGGCTTATAACCGGACCCAAAAAATGTCCACACTAACTTACCACTCCATCAACAAAAGCCTCTTCTCCCCGAACAACGACTTTCTGGACTCGTCCTCGAACTTTCATTCCCGCGTACGGTGTCCATCCCGCCTTGCTTTCTCCACCACTTTCGGGGATCATCCACTCCTCATTCAGATCAACCTGAAGATATCCATCAGTCGAAAAAAAATAGTGCCAAATACTCAGCTATACCGCAATCTAATACCGTAATGATCATGCAAAATCACAAACTTACCACATCAAAACACCATCAAAATATACGTGTCTGGCTGGTCGGGTAAACCGAATATTCGCTTCGGATTGTAGTATAGTCGGTCGAGCAGTTGCCTAAAAAGTATGCGTTAAAATAAATTCTAACCAAAAAAATTGAAACCGATGTTCGAGGAGAGGTCAAAGCGCTGCGTAGTTGCCTAATTATACGCACTCAAAAGATTCGTGCCAGAAAGCCTTACCGTATAGTCAATTTTCCTTGCGAGACCGCTGTCAACAATAGTGGCACCATGTATTCCACACCAGGGAAGCCGGGTGGAGCCTTTTCTGGATCGTCTTTTTCAGCCCAAGTATGAGGAGCTAAATTAGACAGATTCTTAGCTGAAGTTCAGTTACCTGATAGGAAAACTCTCGTGAAAACTTGATAATATGGACTTTCTGTCCCAGATTATTACTGCTGGTCAGTGACGCGTTCGAGTGAGATTCTGAAGGGGGGGGGGGTCAACTGGGGAGCATATTGGTGACGACCGCACTGACACTATGGCGTGTCCTGTCGTGGCCTGTCGCTGAGAAAATGTTTGCAAAGAACTATCCATCCCCCTCCTAATTTTCCCCATCCTACATACCATTTCACTGACTTTTACTTTCCCCAACTTCCTTAAGGAGGCCTTATATGGCCCACAACGGGAGACGGACAAGAGAATCGTAAGTCGCCGCTTCGTCGCGCGCGGCAATGGGCGCGACGTTTTCTTGATTCGCACTACCCTTTCGATTGGAGCATCGGATTTCATGTGGACAAGGACATGGTTAACACTTCAGCCATGCATTGTCTGTTCTCCACCAATACCACCTAAAACCGTCGTCGTTAGCGGTGCGACGTCGCACGCGACGCCCACTAGCGCGGCAAATTACGATTCTCTTGCCACATACCCACCCACCCCTCCAGAGGGGGCGGAAACGACTACAAAATTCAGTAAAAAAAAAGCGGAACAGAGCTGGAATCTTATATACATAGTGTGAATGATTGAATGAGCTCTCCTTTACTTTGCTCTTACTTACCGTGATCGGTAGCGAAGCAGTCAATATACTCAAGATTGGCCCAAAGAGCGTTCCTGTCCTCGACTGTCGCCAGGCGTGGGCGAACCTACAAAATATTCTAAGTTTTCTTACTGTAATTAGAAATGGTGCTTCAGTGAATTGTTTCGATGATAGGTTTCGACTTGCAGGCTCCGAAGAAGGCGATGTTCGCCGAAACGTTAGTCCAATAAAGTATCTGTACAAATCTCGGGAGGCTGAAGAAACATTCTGAATTATTATTCTGAACTCTGATGCCGAGATTAATTGAAAGCCGATCCTGTGATATTCTCTATAACTTTCATTTTAGACCACCCATTCCATCCCACTAAAAGATGGACAAAATTATGTGTAGTTTTGTTGTAAAACTAACCTCTTTACACCGGGCTGTAATCTTCCTGCCGTCAGCAAAAAAGATGCTGGGCAAACCTTCGCCACGTCACAGGCCAACCGCTGAAAGTCATTAGGTGTAAAAACCAAAGAACATCAACTCCAGTGTCACCTGAATAAAAGCCAGAGGACTCCAGAAGGCACGTAGTTCTAGGGGGCGAGGCACAGGGGCACAAATGGCGCGAGGAATCTAAGCGATTCTAATTCTCAGCACAGCTTGCGACCTGAGCTTTCCCGCGGCCTCCTGATAGGTCACAGAGAACTACGTCATGAAGGCGCGCAGGACGTGTCAATTACAGTCCGGCCCCAAGCTGGCCATTTATATAATATTTCTAAAAATCTGGTTCTAATGCGGATTATATGAGTACGGACCTTTCGGCTCTGGCATGCGCGGACGCAACTGGATCTCCTCTGCGTTTGAAACATGGCAGATATGCACTGAAATGGAAGAAATCATTAATATCGAGAAATGAGAAAAAGATAAATCGGCGCAGTTCAGCGTGAATGGAGCATTTTGCACTTATAATTAACAGTCTCCGACAAAGCTTCGACTTGATTCACAGGGTTTCACAGATCTCTGCTTGGGTAGTCGTCACGAAGATGAGAAGTAGTGAATGTGCCAAAATGTCACTCCCTTCCAAGCCGATCTGCGCTATAAATTCGAAAGGGAACTGGAACACTGACGCAAAGAGTTCTGAGTAGTCGAGTGGGAGAGATCCACTCACTCAATCATGACGATACGCACCTCTCTGCTTGCCTGCGCCCTACCACCGAGTTAATGATCCCTCCTCCAGGCAAACTAACTCCTATGGAACGAGGTGACCGAGTGAATGCAGCCGGGTCTCTTCTCTGATCCTCTCAGGGTACTAAAAACGCGTTAATGCGCGACTGTATTACAGAAGGAAAGGCGCTTGCTTCCACTCAGTCCTGATACCCTCGCTTCTTCTTTATACCTCTCTCTCCAAACACAAACGGGGCTAGGCTTGGTCGATACCCGTACGTAAAGCCGTTGAAACAGTAGGCCTCGTCGCCAAGCCCCCGCTGCCTTGTCGCCTAGAAGTCACGTGAACGCTGCCTTACACCGCGTCATCAAGCGTTGTCGTGAAGTCTGAATACTGCTGTACAAACAACACTTCACTAACCAGCTCGACCAAGTTCATCTGCTGCCCACACAAGCCAACAGCCAAGCACGGTTTGTTATCTCGGGCATGACAGACTATTGGCCGTTGACGCCGGAAACGATTCGAAGCTCGCTGAAATTACACGATGTTTAAATTTCTACGCGATAAGTTAATCCAATCAAACAGTTGCGCATATGTTCATCCGGACCCTTCACCCTAACTCACTCACAGTGCCAACAAGTCTGACTACGCACTCTTTCATGCCAAGCGTATAGGCGACGAAGCCGTCTGATTCACGCGATACCATCTTTAACAGTACACGCCCGCCAATAGGTGACACACCGCTTCCAGACGCTATCACGCACAATCCTTCCTGGCCCACACCCATGCTACCAACCTCCTCTGCACACCAACATACACGGAACGGAAACACCGATAGATCCACTCACGAGCATTAGTTTTGCTCGCTACCAGATGTAAAACTGAGGATGACCAATAAAGTGAGCCTTTGTTTGCATTTATAGCCCTAGTCAAATATAAGTCCGCACTCCAAGAGCTTTATGCACGCATTCGGCAGGTTCAGACTTTGCGATGACGGACAGGACCGCCGTCCATTGGCGTTGGTAGCGCGCCCACATGCGGCGTAGTCTAAACGCTTGCGATAAACAGGCAACTATGCCACACACTTACTCAGATCCCACCTCCGCCTCACCGCCGCCACCCTACCAGCGCATACTGCCCAGAATACACCTCAACCACCACCGACAACCTGAACGGGCGACGGCTCAGCGGAAGTGAGAGACGGTTAGGGGAACATAGGAGGGTACCACGCTACAGTCTTTAATTCTTGACAACGCTCCTGTACATTCTCTATAAAACATTAACGGCGTTGGCGCCGAATTGATACCCTCTATGACTGAGTGTGGAGAAAAGGGCTGGCGTCGCGCTCAAACCCACGCCTACGAACTAATTCTTCTTGACTTAAACAACCGCCACACTCCTACCTTTTCAACGACCTGATAACTATCCATATCAATGAGCGGAGGGTTTGTATTGGCATTGCCAATATTTGTGTGATACCACCGGCCAGAGCTGCACGGGTGCAAGTGTACCAGTCTTCCTGTAAAATAGTGGTACACTGGAAGCAGTAAGTTGTCAAGTAGGCTAAAACTAACCTTGTGAGTTGCGCCAGGTTCTCTGACGTGCACATGAATATCAATCAATCCTGGAAGGCGTTTTAGGTTGCGACTGGGCCACGCAGTCAATCTGGGAGTTCACTGGCGGACGACGGCCAACCGTATGTAACGCCTGAAAGGTAACAGCATCACAATCGAGAAAATTCCAAGGTTCTGTGATTTTACACAGTGTCAAAGCTTACATTCTTGCTCGCTGCAGACGCTGGGGCGTATCAGGGAAAGGAGGAGTTGAGTTTGGCGTGGCGCCAGCCCGTTCTCCACCAGCCGTGGAGCCTGGCAGGCAACCACATCTGGTGGAAAACTGGCTCGCGCAGCGGCAACCCCCCTCCCCTCATACGCCCAAACGTGAGCAGCGAACACGACTGTACTAATCATCATACAACTAGGAGGTATTAACAGAGAAAGAAAATCGCAAGGTCACTAAGAGGTCACTATGGGGGCGAAACGCGGCTCTGGTCCCTGCAGCAATCGCAGAGCCTGGGAACTTGTAAAAACGCAGAAATGACAAGTAGGACGAGCCCTGGCGTTGGAGGAAAAGTTCCCTGAAATACGACGTCCTCAAAGGTTCCTCCTCTGGCACGTCCTCCCTTCCCCATCCACCGCCCAATCTACCCTCTTTTTTAATTTCCTCAACTTCTACCATTCCAGGAGTCGGGGGCTTTTTTTGAACTTCCAGTTTTTCCCAATAAAAACCTCTTGTCGAGTGGGGGAAGGCGTATACAGCGCAAGTCAAACGGGAAAAATCGTGAAAAATCAACAACCAACAACGTTTTCTGTAAAAGTAGGTACGACCCCTCCTCTCTCGAGCGACCAAATGGACTCCCAGGCGGCAAGATACCATGCGTCTAACAGCGAAGAACATCGGGTGGAGGTAGGGGGCGAGGGTTTATACCCAGTTGAATTACACAATTGATATAATTCTCCAGAAAAAACCCACGTCAATGAACAGCTTGGCGCATTTAATATCAGTGATTAGTGGAATTCCATTGTCCACCGCCATTCTTCGAGTTTTATATCCATGCGTTCTGAAGCGAAATAACGAACAATAGAGAATCTAGGCAAATGTAGCACAGAACTTAAGAAGTTCTGCAGGTAAATTCTACGGGGCTACCAACCTGTAAGCTGAGACTCGATAGGCACCCGATCCTCGAATTGGCAGATTGATAACCAGGTGGAACTCCTTGTTTTCAAAGAACTCTGCCACTGATCTGGAACCAAACTATTCAGTATTGTACTGTTTAAGAAGACGATCAGAGAAAAAAGTAGGATGTTATATTCTGGCCACGGCGATGCGCAAAACTAGCTAGTATTTTCTGTTCCTTCGACTCGTCCACGTTAAATCAGTCGAGTCCTGGTGCCATACAAACAGAATATTTACATGGTACACGCCATATCCCGGACAAGGGGAGGGCGCGGCTGCAGAATCCATATGAACATGGTATGCAATACGTTTTTCATGGATTGTTTCCATCTGGAACCTCCTCCATCCTATTTCGTGATAGACAGAGAGATGATTACAGTCAACAGGCTATATCCCATCAAGAACGCAGCCGCCACCACGTTCTAATGAAGTGGACAACCACGTGCTCCCCATTTTCGGTATATGGACTGTATAAGCAGTTGATATCGTTGCAATCAGTCAGGGCGGTGCCAAGGAGCTTGGAATGAGCCCACTCGCTGCGTTCTCTACCATGGATTGTTTTCTTCTTGAATCGATCGCTGCCCGGTCTGACGAAAAGGCAGCTGAAGCCGAGCTCACTCTAGCTCTCCTGACCCCGCCCCGAC